GTGAGGAATGTATGAGAGACCAAGTTCTCAGTGCAAAATGTGCTGATTGCTAATGGGGTATATTTGATTTTAGGCCTTTTTAGCAGACAGAGCTGAATAGACATGCACACATTACCTACATATATGAATATGCATACACACATGCACATATATACTTGTGTATACATACATGTGTATGTTCAGACATATACCTGTTTTAGAAATCATGAGTTCTGGCCAGGTGTGGTGGCTCACACCTACAATCCCAGCACTTTGGGAGGCTGAAGTGGGTGGATTATCTAAGGTCAGGAGTTTGAGACCAGCCTGGATAACACAATGAATCCCCATCTCTACTAAAAATACCAAAAAAAGTTAGCCTGGCATGGTGGCAGGCACCTGTAATCCCAGCTACTTGGGAGACCGAGGCAGGAGAATCACTTGAACCTGGGAGGCAGAGGTAGCAGTAAGCCGAGATAATGCCACTGCACTTCAGCCTGGGCAACAAGAGCAAAACTCTGTCTCAAAAAAATCAATCAATCAATCAATCAATCAATCATGAGTTCTTGGGTTTTAACAATATCAACACATTTATTCATTTGTTCAAGCATATAATACATCTAAAATAGTTTCAGAATTGATTTGCCAATGCTATTACATAAACAAACCTACCAAAAAGAGTTCACAATTTGTTTGCAGTTATCTTCCTACCCCTGCCTCACGGGAGCCTTGCTTCTGAACCACTCTCAACAAATATAGCTGTTTGCTGGGAGGAAGGTGGCAGCAGAGAGGGAGCACAGGACTGGAATGGAGGCATGCAATAGCCATGGAGGGGGAAAGGTGCGGGAACCTCAGTTTCAGAAGCAGAAGGTAAGTTTCCTAGGCTGGAGAAGATATTGTGTGCTGGCCCAGGTCCACTCGATAGCATGTTTTCCTGCAGCCATCTTGGCAGCCTATGTATAGTAGAGAAGACAGATGGCTGGGATGGCTGGCTGATCCAAAGTTGGGGAACTACCAGGTGGATGTGGCAGAAGGACAGAGGGTAAGGACACTGGGGTGCTGGCAAGAGAGTGGTTGACGTCATGAACCCTGGAGTCTGGGCTGAATTGGGGAAGAAATGAAGCCAAGAGAAAGAGGAATGACTGGACCTGTGAAGTGGTTTATTCATGTGATTTCTGGTCACTAAATCCAATAATCTAGGAATAGGCAGTTCAGGGAGCTATGAAGAGAGATGGCTTGTATCAAAATTGGTTAGTGACAGATGAGAGGAACTATACTCAGAGCAACCAAAGAGATCGTGTTTCCGCAAAGACCAGAGATTGAGGGAGAGAAGACCTCGCTGGTACAGGCTGGAGAGGGAAACTGTTTAAAGCACATTATTGCAATGTATGATCAATAGCTAAGAGTAGTGTTCAAATGAAGGGAACTTAGAGATCATTTCACCTGGACAGGCACTCACTTTATTTTTTTGGGGGGGACAGAGTCTCACACTGTAGCCCAGGCTGGAGTGAAGTGGTGTGATCTCGGCTCATTGCAGTCTCCACCTCCTGGGTTCAAGCAATTCTCCTGCCTCAGCCTCCCAAGTAGCTGGGACTACAGGCGTGTGCCACCACACCCAGCTAATTTTTTTTGTATTTTTAGTAGAGACAGGGTTTCACCATTGTTGGCCAAGATGGTCTTGATCTCCTGACCTTGTGAGCCACCCACCTCTGTCTTCCAAAGTGCTGGGATTGCAAGCGTAAGCCACCGCACCTGGCCCAGCACTTCACTGGGAAGTGAAGTAAAAGGTCAGGAAGTAAAAGTCCTGACCTTACTTAAGGACTAAGTAAGGTTGCCCGAGAGTTGTTAAGCAACTGCCCCATGCCTCCCTGACTCCAGCCTGCGTGGGATTCAAACTCAGGTGTTCTAAATCCCATGCTGGTGGCTCTTTAACCCACTACAATGTTCTGAGCCTACCAAAATGTCTGACTGGTTTGTTTTGCCTACTAGTCTTTGTTCTCCATCCAGATTTTTTTTTTTTTTGAGATGGAGTTTCACTCATGTTACCCAGGCTGGAGTGCAATAGCGCGATCTCGGCTCACCGCAACCTCCGCCTCCTGGGTTCAGGCAATTCTCCTGCCTCAACCTCCTGAGTAGCTGGGACTACAGTCACGCACCACCATGCCCAGCTAATTTTTTTTTTTTTGTATTTTTAGTAGAGACGGGGTTTCACCATGTTGACCAGGATGGTCTCGATTTCTTGACCTCGTGATCCACCCGCCTTGGCCTCCCACAGTGCTGGGATTACAGGCTTGAGCCACCATGCCCGGCCTCCATCCAGATTTTAAGCACAGGGGCAGGAGAGAAATCTTATGCATCAGTGCATTCTCCATAGTTCCTAAGTCAGTCACTGCTCAATGCATCTTTTTCTTTTCTTTTTTTTTTAAAGACAGAGTCTCACTCTGTCACCCAGGCTGGAGTAGAGTGGTATGATCTCAGCTCACTGCAACTTCTTTTGTTTTTTTTTTTTTTGAGACAGAGTCTTGCTCTGTCACCAGGCGCTAGGCTGGAGTGCAGTGGTGCAATCTCGGCTCACTGCAATCTCCACCTCCTGGGTTCAAGCAATTCTCCTGCTTCAGCCTCCCGAGTAGCTGGGACTACAGGCACGCGCCACCACGCCCAGCTAATTTTGTTTGTATTTTTTAGTAGAGATGGGGTTTCACCATGTTGGACAGGATGGTCTCGATCTCTTGACCTCGTGATCCGCCCACCTCGGCCTCCCAAAGTGCTGGGATTACAGGCATGAGCCACCACGCCCGGCCAAGCTCACTGCAACTTCTGCCTCCTGAGCCAAAGCGATCCTCCCACCCCGGCCTCCAGGGTAGCTGGGACTACAGGCATGTGCCACCATACCCAGCTAATTTATGTATTTTTTTTTGTTGTTAGAGACAGGGTTTCACCACATTGCCCAGGCTGGTCTCATATTCCTGGGCTCAAGGGATCTACCTGCCTCAGCCCCACAAAGTGCTGGGATTGCAGGCATGAGCCACCATCCTGGCCTATCTCAGTTTCAAGAGGTGTTGTCAGCTCTCCAAAAAGATATGCTGCCACCAGATGGTGATAGGACCTTCCTTAGGCCCTGTGGTCCAAAGAGTAAGGCTTCTTAAGAAACCATGTTCACAGGCCTGGCGGCTGACTGCAACCAACGCCTCCCGGGTCCAAGCTATTCTCCTGCCTCCGCCTCCTGAGTAGCTGGGATTACAGGCACATGCCACCATGTCCCGCTAATTTTTGTATTTTAGTAGAGACAGGGTTTTGCCATGTAGGGCAGGCTGGTTTTGAACTCCTGGCCTCAAGGGATCCACCCGCCTCGGCCTCCCAAAGGCATGAGCCACCGCACCTGGCTGAATTTCTGAACAACTTTCAAACAAGGTTTGCTTTAGGGATTTGTCTTTTTTTTTTTTTTTTTTTTTGAGAAGGAGATTTGCTCTTGTTACCCAGGCTGGAGTGGAATGGCGCGGTCTCGGCGCAATTGCACCCCAGCCTGCGTGACACGGGCAATTCTCCTGCCTCAGCCTCCTGAGTAGCTGGGATTACAGGCACACGCCACCATGCCCAGCTAATTTTTTGTATTTTTAGTAGAGACGGGGTTTCACCATGTTGACCAGGATGGTCTCGATCTCTTGACCTCGTGATCCACCCGCCTCGGCCTCCCAAAGTGCTGGGATTACAGGCTTGAGCCACCGGCCCGGCCTGGGATTTGTCTTTTAAGGATATCCTTTTAGGGATAATAAGTGGAGTTTTGGCTGCTTTCTGGATAATTAAAATGCTGACTAATAGTTTTAGGAAGTAAGGTGTGGCATTGAAGAAGGCCATTTGCAAACTCCCTATGTAAAGAGCATGGGCTGACATTCCCCTTAAAAAGACTCACCCATTGAGGGTAGCTGCATCTAGAACTCTCTGTACTCTCTGCTCATTTCTCTGTAAATCTAAAACTGTTCTAAAATATTTTTTTTTTTTTTTTTTTTTTGAGACGGGGTTTCTCTCTTGTTACCCAGGCTGGAGTGCAATGGCGCGATCTCGGCTCACCGCAACCTCCGCCTCCTGGGTTCAGGCAATTCTCCTGCCTCAGCCTCCTGAGTAGCTGGGATTACAGGCACACGCCACCATGCCCAGCTCATTTTTTGTATTTTTAGTAGAGACGGGGTTTCACCATGTTGACCAGGATGGTCTCGATTTCTTGACCTCGTGATCCACCCGCCTCGGCCTCCCAAAGTGCTGGGATCACGGGCTTGAGCCACCGCGCCCAGCCTAAAATACTTTTTAAATACTCAAACACTAGGATTGCAATAAAATTTGTGTTGTCATGTGGTTCTAATCAGTAGTAATCCAGGTGGCTGGAAGTTTAAAAGTGATAATGAAAAATGTGCTAGAAAACTTTCAATCCCATGTGCTAGAAAACCTGGCATGAGCTGGAGTGACCCTCCTCTAAATGACTCCAGTGTGTTGACATGACAGGCTGTAGCTGGCACACTATGCTTGGTGCTCAGGAGGGACTATTGGAAAGAAAATGTGGATATAAAATATCTGTTCAGGCCGGGCGCGGTGGCTCAAGCCTGTAATCCCAGCACTTTGGGAGGCCGAGGCGGGTGGATCACGAGGTCAAGAGATCTAGACCATCCTGGTCAACACGGTGAAACCCCGTCTCTACTAAAACTACAAAAAATTAGCTGGGCATGGTGGCGCGTGCCTGTAATCCCAGCTACTCAGGAGGCTGAGGCAGGAGAATTGCCTGAACCCAGGAGGCGGAGGTTGCGGTGAGCCGAGATCGCGCCATTGCACTCCAGCCTGGGTAACAAGAGCGAAACTCCGTCTCAAAAAAAAAAAACAAAACAAACAAACAAACAAACAAAAAAATAAAAAATAAAAAATAAAATAAAATATCTGTTCATATAAAATTATGCAGTTAACCAATCAAAGGAAACAACTGGTTAGAGAGAAAGAATTTTCTTTTTTTTTTTTTTGCTCACCTTCAACTGTCTTGATAGAGTTAGAGAGAGAAAGAATTTTAATCAGCAGGTTAAAAAATTTACAAAACCTTGAACATAAGATATGCAACATGAAATTCTGGGTAATACATGCATTGGTATTTCCATGTGGGAATACCTCATTCTGAGCAAACCTGACATACAGCAGTCAGACTGACCATTCATCACTGGAAAGCTTTGACACAAGACTTTTTTTTTTTTTTTTTTATATAGCACTTTCCGAAAATGTGTTTAACACGGAGTTTGATTTTTAAAAATTGATTTACACATAATTTTAGAGAGAATATCTATTGGTTAAAATGAGGAATATCTGTGCTGCCATGAGGTGTGCCATGAGAGCACACTTCAATTCCTGATAAAGCATTTTTACACATCATAATGAAATTTCATTTTATGAAAAAACAGTTAAATTCATGAGGTATGCATCTTGATCACAACACAGAGTGCAAGTACAAAGTGTCAGGTCAGTGCATGATGAGCACACAACACAGTACACTGCCAGGAAATGCAGTTCCCAATCACACATCCCTCCCATTACAAAATGTGTCTAATCTGCAACACCCCGAAAAGTGCTTGTGTGGCATAGCCCAGGCTCACCTACGGGTATGTGTGTATGTGCAAGGATGGGTATGCCGCCATGGCCACACAGCCTCTCTTTGTGGCAGGATATCTGCTCCTTGGCCAGTTTGGCTTCACACCTAGAGCTGGCTCCTGGCTGCAGTTTATGGTTCTCTTTGGAGAGCACGATACTGTAAAGCCTGGCTTCTTATTCTGTGCAAACAAGATTTTTAAAAAGTTGAATTCGCTTTATTTCGCCATTTGTAAAGATGTAGTTAGGTTTGGGATTGGCTTTACAAGGAGTTGGTGAGAAGCATTTGCATTTCTTCCCCAAATATTAAAGTAGTTGACACTATTATAGAACAGAGGTGAACTGAGCATTTGTCCTGATCCTCAGCCAAATCACAGTCAACATGAGCAACATTTTTTTTTTTTTAAGATGGAGTCTTGCTCTGTAACCCAGGCTGGAGTGCAATGGTGCAATCTCAGCTCACTGCAATCTCCGCCTCCTGGGTTCAAGCAATTCTCCTGCCTCAGCCTCCTGGGTAGCTGGGACTACAGGCATTTGCCACCATGCCTGGCTATTTTTGTATTTTTGTATTTTTAGTAGAGACGGGGTTTCGCCATATTGCCCAGGCTGCCCTCAAACTCCTGAGGTCAAGTGATACTCCAGCCTCAGCCTCCCAAAGTGCTGGAATTACAGGCATGAGCCACCATGCCCGGTGAACATGGGCAATATTTTAATTGCCCCAAGAAGCAGAAAGACTGCATTTTATAAGCTGTCTAGAAACATTACTCAAAGGATGAAAAAATGGTCTATGAAGGTGGCAGATTGCCTCATTTTCTTTAATTCTGTTTATCTGACACGTTATAGAAGTTAAATACCCACATCTCTGTTACACAAATATTAGACCAGAAAGAAAATATGAGGCAGGAGAATCTTGAGCCCAGCAGGTGGAGGCTGCAGTGAGCCAAAATTGTGCCACTGCACTCCAGCCTAGCGAGCGATAGAGCAAGTCCCTGTCTCAAAAAAAAAAAAAAAAAAAAAAATTAAGAAAATGAAGTAGAGATAAAGGTTTGGATGACATTTATCCACTACACTGGATTTAATTGAATTCATGGTTATATGTCACAACCTAATTAGTATGTTGCAGTTCCAGGATATAGTTTTTGCTACTCATAGGCTTCCAGCAATGAATGCTAAGTGAAGAAAGAGGACAAGCTCATTATTTATTAGTCTGTCAGGACTGAAACTCTTTAATTTGACTTTATTTAAGCCCATCTTTTCACTGCTCTTCATTTGCTGTTATACTGTGGTGACTGGACTATCAGTTTTGTCACTCCTAGAGGGTCTTGTCTTCATGTCTTTTAAGAGCCCTGCCCATTGTAGACAGTAGCTGACACTGATAGGTAAATGAGAGCATCAGTGGAAGAATTCCCAAGTAACAGACTTGGAAAGACAGCAGGGACTCAGTCCATTGGGAGAACCATCCATTCTTTATCTAGTACACCTAACTTAATCCACTGATTCTCAACCTGGGTTTCACGAAGACACATGTGAATAAAACCATCCTGTAAATATACTCTCGGCTATTAGAAACAACAGCTTACTAGCTGTTTCTCTACCTCTTTTTTCTTCCCTTTCAGGAAAGAACATGTGAGTGCAAATGAGCATGACAAATGTTACTATATAGATAAATATGAATTCATTCAAACTTATTCTTTTTATTTTTCATATATATATATATATATTTATTTATTTATTTTTGAGACAGAGTCTCACTCTGTTGCCCAGGCTAAAGTGCAGTGGCACAATCTCAGCTCACTGCAACCTCTGCCTCCTGGGTCAAGTGATTCTCCTGCCTCAGCCTCCCAAGTAGCTGGGATTACAAGTGTGCACCATCACACCCAGCCAATTTTCGCATTTTTAGTCTAGATGGGGTTTGGCCATGTTGGCCAGGCTGGTCTCAAACTCCTGACCTCAGGTGATCCACTCACCTCAGCCTCCCAAAGTGCTGGGATTACAGGTATGAGCCACCAAGCCCAGCCCAGACTTACTAAGTTTTTTTTTTTTTTTTTTTTTGAGATGGAGTTTTGCTCTTATTGCCCAGGATGGAGTGCAATGCTATGATCTCAGCTTACCACAACATCTGCCTCCTGGGTACAAGCACTTCGTCTGCCTCAGCCTCCCAAGTAGCTGGGACTACAGCCATGTGCCACCATGCCTGGCTAGTAGAGACAGGGTTTCTCCATGTTGGCCAGGGTCTCAAGCTCCTGACCTCAAAGGATCCACCCACCTTGGCTTCTCAAAGTGCTGGGATTACAGGCATGAGCCACCTCGCTTGGCCTAAAACTTAGTCTTTTAAAAAAGCAAGTATTTCACAAATCTTGGTACTGAATGGTCAGTGGTAACTATAGCCTGAGGGTGCAAAATGCCTTAGATGTTCACCTGAGGAGAATAAACTGAGAAGGTAAAACTGGACTGTGGATCACCACCCCTCCAAATCACATAATACATTTGAGAATTAATTAAAATTAATAGCTGGCAAATAAGTATATACAGTATACTAGGTAAAGTACCTGCATTTTCTCTTTATTCTTAGGCAGAATCAGGGTGGTCATTGATGGGTCCAGGGGGGTATCTTTGTCTCTTCTATTGAAATTTATCTAAAATAAATGAACATATCTTCAGTAAATTTTCCATTTGAATAAGTATGATTATAATGAATACGCATTATTTGCTTCTTATTTATATATGTTAATTCATTATGATACTCTCACACAAGAAGGCAGGCAAAACATAATTCAAAGAAGGAAAAATGATTCAAAGGGGGAAAAGTGACTAATTTGCAAAGTGCCTATGATATGCCCGGTGCTTTGCACTTTCACACAAATTCATCAACTTTAGGATGTAGATATTATCATCTCAACATTTCAGATGCAAAAACTTAGTCTCAGGGTGGTCAGATGACTCACAGAATATTAAACAGTGAGGCAAGACAGACTTCAAAATTTGTGCTCTTGTCACCAGCTGTGCTCTGTGGAGATTCCCCAGTATCACACAGTGAGACCTCATTAATAGCACTTTAACCATAGGGTAGTGTTTCACACAAGGAGGGCCCATTTTGCATCCTATCACCTTAGAATCAGCTACTATTGTACAAAACCTTTTTTTTTTTTTTTTTGAGACGGAGTTTCGCTCTTGTTGCCCAGGCTGGAGTGCAATGGCGCCATCTTGGCTCATTGCAACGTCCGCCTCCTGGGTTCAGGCAATTCTCCTGCCTCAGCCTCCTGAGTAGCTGGGATTACAGGCACACGCCACCATGCCCAGCTGATTTTTTGTATTTTTAGTAGAGACAGGGTTTCACCATGTTGACCAGGATGGTCTCAATCTCTTGACCTCGTGATCCACCCACCTCGGCCTCCCAAAGTGCTGGGATTACAGGCGTGAGCCACCGCGCCCGGCCTTGTACGAAACCTTTTAACCTTAAATTCCTGGACTCAAGTGATTCTACCACCTCAGCCTCCCAAGTACTAGGACTACCGGGGCAGGTTACCACGTCCAGCTAAGTTTTAAAATTTTTTGTAGAGACAGGATCTTGTTATGTTGCTCAGGCTGGCCTCGACCTCCTGGCCTCAAGTGATGATCCTCCTAGCTCAGTCTCCCAAAGTGCTGGGATTATAGGTGTGAGCTACTGTACCTGACCTCAAACCCCCCTGCCCATTTTTTTTTTTTTTTTATACAGGGTCTTGCTCTGTCACCCAGGCTGGGGTCCAGTGGCAGGATCACAGCTCACTGCAGCCTTGATCTTTCAGGCTCAATCAATCCTCCTACCTCAGTCTCCCAAGTAGCTAGGACTATAAGTATGCACCACCATGCCTAGCTAATTTTTTTTTTTTTTTTTGAGACAGAGTCTCACTCTGTCACCTAAGCTAGAGTGCAATGGCAAAATCTCAGCTCACTGCAACCTCTGCCTACTGGGTTCAAGAATTCTTGTGACTCAGCTTCCTGAGTAGCTGGGACTACATGCATGCATCACCACACCCAGCTAACTTTTGTATTTTTAGTAGAGATGGGTTTTCACCATGTTGACCAGGCTGGTCTCCTGGCCTCATGTGATCCACCCACCTTGTCCTCCCAAAGTGTTGGAATTACAGGCGTGAGCCACTGTGCCTGACCAAACTTATTTTTTTAAAAAAGCAAGTAGCCGGGCGCAGTGGCTCACGCCTGTAATCCTAGCACTTTGGGAGGCCAAGGTGGGTGGATCACCTGAGGTCAGGAGTTCAAGACCAGCCTGGCCAGGCGCGGTGGCTCAAGCCTGTAATCCCAGCACTTTGGGAGGCCGAGGCGGGTGGATCACGAGGTCAAGAGATCGAGACCATCCTGGTCAACATGGTGAAACCCCGTCTCTACTAAAAATACAAAAAATTAGCTGGGCATGGTGGTGCGTGCCTGTAATCCCAGCTACTCAGGAGGCTGAGGCAGGAGAATTGCCTGAACCCAGGAGGCGGAGGTCGCGGTGAGCTGAGATCGCACCATTGCACTCCAGCCTGGGTAACATAAGTGAAACTCTGTCTCAAAAAAAATAAAAATAAAAATAAAATAAAATAAAAATAAAATAAAATAAAATAAAGCAAATAATTGGCTGGGTGTGGTGGCTCACGCTTATAATCCCAGCACTTTGGGAGGCTGAGGTGGGAGGATCACCTGAGGTCAGGAGTTCCAGACCAGCCTGGCCAACATGGAGAAACCCCGTCTTTACTAAAAATACAAAATTAGCTGGGTGTGGTGGTGCATGCCTTTAATCCCAGCTACTCGGGAGGCTGAGGCAGGAGAATTGCTTGAACTCTGGAGGCAGAGGTTGCAGTGAGCCGAGATCGTGCCATTGCACTCCAGCCTGTGCAATAAGAGCGAAACTCTGTCTAAAAGAAACCCAGCAAATAATTCACCAACCTTGGTACTGAATGGTCAGTGGTAGCACTGCATGTGAAGCACACTTCACAATTCATGGCAACACTCGATGTGTTGTTAACCTCCTAAGGCTGAGAACAGGTGCCTCATTCCCTGTTATTTTCTTACGTGACATGTTGCCATGGCATTTCAAAATAATGGCTGCCTAAAATAATGTTCATTGAAATGAAATGTTCAATGGCAAGCTTTTAACTCTAGATGGGCTCCCTCCAGCCCTGGTACGTACCAGGGGCCAAGTTGTTTGTAGCCTGAGGGTGCAAAATGCCTTAGATGTTCACCTGAGCAGAACAAATCTGAGAAGGTAAAACTGGACTGTGGATCACTGCCCCTCCAAATCATATAATATATTTGAGAACTAATTAAAATTAATTGCTGGCACATAAGTATATACAGTATATTAGGTGAAGTACCTGTATTCTCTCTTTATTCTTAGGAAGAATCAGGGTGACCATTGATGAGTCCAGGGGGGTATCTTTGTCTCTTCTATTGAAATTTGTCTAAAATAAATGAACATATCCTCACTAAGTTTTCCACTTGAACAAGTGTGATTACAGTGAATATACATTATTTGTTTGCTTCTTATTTATATATATTGATTCATTATGATATTCTCACACAAGAGGACAGGCAAAACATAATTTAAAGAAGTAACAATCCGGAGAAAAAAATGACTAATTTACTGAGTGCCTACCATATGCCAGGTGCTTTACACTTTCACACACTGATTCTTTCAACAACCACAGAATACAGATATTACCACCTCAGTATTTCAGATGCAGAAACTTAGTCTCAGGGTGGTCAGATCATGCACAGAATGTTAAACAGTGGAGCTCAGATTTGAACTCAAGACAGTCTTCAAAATTTGTGCTTTTGCCACCAGCTGTGCTCTGTGGGGATTCCCCAGTATCGCATGGTGAGACCTCACTATAGTACTGTTTTTTGTTGTTTGTTTTTTTGAGACAGTCTCGCTCTGTCGGCCAGGCTGGAGTGTAGTGGCATAATCTTGGCTCACTGCAATCTCCGTCTCCAGGCTCAAGCAATTCTCCTGCCTCAGCCTCCAGAGTAGCTGGGATTACAGGCATGTGCTACCGTGCCCAGCTAATTTTTGTATTTTTAGTAGAGACGGGTTTCACTCTGTTAGACAGGCTGGTCTCAAACTCCTGACCTCAAGCGATCTGCTCGCCTCGGCCTCCCAAAGTGCTGGAATTATAGGCATGAGCCACTGCATCTGGCCCTGTTTTTTTTGTTTTTGTTTTTGAGATGGAGTTTCACTCTTGTTACCTAAGCTAAAGTGCAATGGTGCAATCTTGGCTCACTGCAACCTCCACCTCTTGGACTCATATGCTTCTCCCACCTCAGCCTCCCAAGTAGCTAAGGCTACAGGGGTAGGCGACCACATGCAGCTAAGTTTTAAAAATTTTTGTAGAGATAGGATCTTACTATGTTGCTTAGGCTGGTCTTGACCTCCTGTCCTCATGGGATCCTCCCACCTCAGCCTCCCAAAGTGCTGGGATTACAGGTGTGAGCTATAGTATCTGACCTTGAACACCTTTTTTTTTTTTTTGAGATGGGGTCTTGCTCTGTTCCCAGGCTGGGGTGCAGTGGTAGGATCACAGATCACTGCAGCCTTGACTTCTTAGGCTCAAGAGATCCTCCTACCTCAGTCTCTCAAGTAGCTAGGATTATAAGCATGCAGCACCATGTCTAGCTAATTTTCTTTTTTTTTTTTATGTTTTATTTTTATTACTTTTTAAAACTCATGATATAAAGAAAAAAAAATTTTTTTTCGAGATACAGTCTCACTCTATTGCCCAGGCTGGAGTACAATGGCGCAATCTCAGCTCACTGCAACCTCTGCCTCTTGGGTTCAAGCAATTCTTGTGACTCAGCTGCCTGAGTAGCTGGAACTACAGGCATGCAACACCACACCCAGCTAATTTTTGTATTTTTAGTAGAGATGGGGTTTTACCATGTTAGCCAGGCTGGTCTTGAACTCCTGGCCTCATGTGATCTGCCTGCTTTGTCCTCCCAAAGTGCTGAGATTACATGTGTGAGCCACTGTGCCCAGCCATGCCTTGCTAATTTTTAAGAAAAATTTATGTGGAGATGGGGGTCTTGCTATATTGCCAGGGCTGGTCTCGAACTCCTGGACTCAAGTGATCCTCCTGCCTCAGCCTCCCAAAGTGCTGGGATTACAGGTTTGAGCCACCATGCCTGGCCATCCAAGCTGGAGTACCGTGGTATGATCATGGCTCACTGCAGTCTCCAACTCTGGGCTTATGTGATCTGCCCACCTCAGTTTCCCAAGTAGGTGGGACTACAGGCATGCACCACCATGCCTAGCTAATTTTTTTTTTTTTTTTTTTTTTTTTTTGAGATGGAGTTTCACTCATGTTACCCAGGCTGGAGTGCAATGGCACGATCTCGGCTCACCGCAACCTCCGCCTCCTGGGTTCAGGCAATTCTCCTGCCTCAGCCTCCTGAGTAGCTGGGATTACAGGCACGCACCACCATGCCCAGCTAATTTTTTGTATTTTTAGTAGAGACGGGGTTTCACCATATTGACCAGGATGGTCTCGATCTCTTGACCTCGTGATCCACCCACCTCGGCCTCCCAAAGTGCTGGGATTACAGGCTTGAGCCACCGCGCCCGGCCTGCCTAGCTAATTTTTATTGTTTGTAGAGATGAGAGCTCACTATGTTGTACAGGGTGGTCTTGAACTCCTGGGGTCAAACGATCCTCCTGCCTCGGCCTTCTAAAGTATTGGGTTTGGCCAGGTGTGGTGGCTAACACCTGCAATCCCAGCACTTTGAGAGGCTGCGGTGGGCAGATCACCTGAGGTCAGGAGTTCGAAACCAGCCTGGCCAACATGGTGAAACTCCATCCATACTAAAAATACAAAAATTGGCCGGGCGCGGTGGCTCAAGCCTGTAATCCCAGCACTGTGGGAGGCCGAGGCGGGTGGATCACGAGGTCAAGAGATCGAGACCATCCTGGTCAACATGGTGAAACCCCGTCTCTACTAAAAATACAAAAAAAAATGAGCTGGGCATGGTGGTGCGTGCCTGTAATCCCAGCGACTCAGGAGGCTGGGGCAGGAGAATTG